AAACACTCCACTCCACAAAACACCCAAAGCAATTCTATTTTTACTCCAGACTGTCCATGTGAATGTCTGTGTCAATAGAATAAGTAAAACTAACTTTGCATTTTAAGGATTTATGTTTGAGCAGCAGCAGTGAGTTGTACTTCCTGACAGAAAGCTTGGCAACAGCGGACTGATATATGAGAAAATAGTCCCTTAACATGCTACGATTCATGCGATGCAAGGTTAGTTTTATTTCAAACATTATTCGATCAACACAGACATTCACATGGACAGTCTGGTGTAATAATAGATTTGTTTTGGGTGTTTTGTGGAGTGGGTAAGACTGTTTTTAGTGGCAGGAGAACTATGACCATTGACATGCACTAGTCTAGCACCAGCGACCTCTGCAAATACAACACACAAACTCTGAATATTTAGGCTTCTCTCAAACAGAAAACACTCTGTTCCACCTTGCGATGTCATCTTGTGATACAGGACGTGCTCCACTGTGTTATTAAACTCCATACACCAGAATGATTTGGATGATTTCAGCTCTCTCAACTGAACAAAAGGTGTAAAAGGAGCTGTTAACTTGAAAACTGCCATTACATGACATCATAAGGTGGAACAGAGCATTTTGAGCTTTGGACATGTAGACAGACTAATAATAAAGGATTACTTAAACATGTGTGAACGAAACAAAACACAACTCCAGGTCTGTTTTTGATGAGGTAACAAAACTCACAAGAAAAAAAAGTGTTTTATAGGACCTTTAAATTTGCAGAAGCCTTGACTTCTTAAAGCAGAACTAAGTGGCCTTCAGTGATAGAGTTCCTCATGCAGCTCTCATATTATTTTTTTTTTATAATTTGTAATTTATTCAGTGATTTTTTGTTCATATACATCATAATATACATGTTCTGAAATCTAACCTTTCTGTGTTCATTAAATGATAAATTTTTCTTCAGTGAAGCAAATTTATTTTAGTATATTGAGCATAATTTGGGAGGGTTTTAGCTTTCATATGAGACATTTCTAAAACCAATTGATTAATTTAAAGTCAGGTTATAAGCTTTTGTTTCTACAAAATGGATAAGCGACAAGACTTTTGTCAGGGACTGTATATACAAATATTTCCCTCCCTCCGTTTTCCAAAATAACATCGTGCACACAGCATTGTTTTCCAAAAAGTTTTTGTTTACATGAACTCGCATAAATACGCCATCGAGCGACATCAGAACTACGCAAAGTCTCTGGGCCCTGGATTGGATTCAAACTTGCAGCATTTATTTCATTATAGTTGTAAGTACTGGTCAAAAATACCTTGAAAAACATGCATTACTGAGCGGGCTCGCCTCTCCACAGATCTGTTAAAAAAGTGACAAAATCACTGACCTTCGAGCCTCATTGATTTCTGGTCAGGGATCTGATCCATCAGCTGTGTGCAAATGCAAACACACAAAAAGTGTTTGCACCAGAAGAAATGTGACTGCTGCTCTGAACACGTCATCATCATCATCAGAGCAAAAGGGAAACATCGGTCGTACTTTTGGTGTGAGAGCTTCCTAAAACTTTGTTTATCTCACTTTACACTCAAACGCCAAACCGTAGTTTTCCAGAATCTCCACTCTAGCTGGAATTTTTAGAAAGATTCATTTTCAGAGGTTAATTCTCTGTTTGGTGTAGAAGATGGATTCAAATGAAGGGAAATGTCTCCTTGTATGTGAAAACAGGGCCTTAAAGGTTCTATATTATGCAAAATTGACTCTTGTGAACTTTAATCCATGTTATAATGTTGTTTCCTCATCAAAAATATACCTAGAGTTTTGTTTTGTTTTGTTTCATTCGCACGCTTCACTAATCAAAGCTCAGGTGAAAGCTCTTAAATGCAAGAGAATTCTCATGAAAGTCCAATTAACATAATTAAACACTCTCACTTTAACTTCTTGACCTGACAGTCTAACTTTGGAAGCGTGTGTTTAGTGCCCATCCCTTCCACATAAGTGCTATTGTTAGAACTGTTTGCATACTTAAACTATAATTACACTGGTTTTGTTATTCCAAGGAACTTCAAAAGTCAACTATCAAGTACCAGTTTATGTCTTAACCAGTCCCTAATCTTTCTATGAACACAGCGCTAGACTCTGTTCTACTTGTATACATGAGTGAAGATTTGGTCCTTTTAAGTCTGGCTTAGTCCTGGTTCAGGTTTAGGATCAATTTATTCCTATTTTAATCCTGGTTCAGCCCTAGTTTAGTCCTGATTCAGTCCTGTCTTATTCCTGATTTAGTCTTGGCTTAGACCCTGGTTCAGTCCTGGTTCAGTCCTGTCTTCGTCCTGTCTTCGTCCTGGTTTAGTCCTGGTTTAGTCCTGGTTTAGTCCTGGTTTAGTCCTGGTTTAGACCTGGTTTAGCCTTGATTCAATAGTGGTTTAGTCCTGGTTCAGCCCTGGTTTAGTCCTGGCTTAGTCCTGGTTCAATCCTGATTTAGTCCTGTCTTAGACCTGGTTCATTCTTGGTTTAGTCCTGGTTTAGTCCTGGTTTAATCCTGGTTCAGCCCTGGTTCAGCCCTGTCTTAGTCCTGGTTTAGTCCTGATTTAGTCCTGTCTTAGACCTGGTTCAGTCTTGGTTTAGTCCTGGTTTAATCCTGGTTTAATCCTGGTTTAATCCTGGTTTAGATCTGGTTTAATCCTGGTTTAGGTCTGGTTTAATCCTGGTTTAATCGTGGTTCAGTCCTGGTTTAGTCCTGGTTTAGATCCTGGTTTAGTCCGGGGTTGGGCAAGTTTTTGTGCACTTAATTCCTGCACAAAAATGTTAGAGATTTTGAACAGTCTGCCCCTGAGCTCTTGTAGTTGTAGTTGTACTTGTAGTTGTAGTAGTATTGTGTGTAGAGCATTGTGTACCTCACCTGTCTAAGTAGATCTGACAACAGTAACTTAAACCGGATGCTGCGTCCACTCCCAAACCAAGAATGACAGAAATGACAGCATGCGGACCAAAACTCACCTGTTGAAACTCTACCTAATTTGCATTTTGTTTTTCCTGTAATCAAAATTAGACGAGACATTTGACCATAGAATGCATGCTATTTTGTTTTATCAGAAGCAATTCGAATAAAACCTTGCCTTTTTAATGAAATAAAATGGACACTGCTAGGATCTTAAAACCTCAGCAAAGATACTCAGAAAAGCACGGAATTCTTGTATTAGTTTGGCAGTTAATTTCAGGATGAACTGCTCATTTCTCCGGATACTCTCTCATATTCAAATATACTTTACATAAACATAATATAACCACAAACCTTATCTGAAAAATTACAGGATGTTTTTCTTTTTTTCTCAAGTTTAGCCCTACTGCAAAAGGAGATCATCTATTTACTTGTAATGATTGTCTTTATTTGCATAAACTTGTTGTCTAGACCTGAGTAGACCTGATCCTCCCAGTGCCCTGCAGCCTCAACTCTGCTCTGTGTGAACCGCTCACAGTCACACTTACACACTTGGATTTCATTGAGTTTCAAACCCTTTTTAGACTCAGACTTTTCTATTATAATAACAAACAGCAACAGTATAAATAGTAATAATAAAATCAACATAGATAACAAAAGTAACAATAGACCAGTTTTCCTTACGACCTCTTGTATAGAACTGTGATATACTGTGTTTTTATTGCTATATTTGTTGTTTTTATTGCTATATTTGTTTTTTTACTTACTTGTACATTTATATAATATATTATTTGACACCAGTCTCTTGCTATTTTATTGGTTCTTATTTAGAAGTTTAATTACCATTTTATATTTAGTTCTGGTTCAGTTCTACTTTAGTCCGGGTTTAATCCTGGTTTAGTCCTGTCTTAGATCTGGTTTAGACATGGTTTAGACCTGGTGCAGCATTGGTTTAGATCTAGTATAGTCCTGGTTTAAACCCTGGTTCTGTTCTGCTTTAAAACTTGGTTTAGTCTTTGTTCGGTCCTGGTTTAGACCCTGGTTTAGTGTTTGTCCAGTCCTGGTTCTGTTATGGTTTAGACCCTGGTTTAGACCCTGGTTTAGACCCTGGTTTTGACCCTGGATTAGACCCTGGTCCAGTCCTGTTTTAGACCCTGGTTCAGTCCTAGTTGTTCAGTCCTGGTTTAGTCCTACTCCAGTCCTGGTTTTGACCCTGGTTTAGACCCTGGTCCAGTCCTGTTTTAGACCCTGGTCCAGTCCTGTTTTAGACCCTGGTTCAGTCCTGTTTTAGACCCTGGTTTAGTCCTGTTTTAGTCCTGGTTTAGTCCTACTCCAGTCCTGGTTTTGACCCTGGTTTAGACCCTGGTCCAGTCCTGGTTCTTTTGTCTATTTTTACGCTTTTATTGTAATATAATGTGATGTGTGAGCGACTGTGTCCAAGTCATTTCCCTGGATCAATAAAGTCTGTCGAAATCGAAGTTTATAAAGCATAATTATATAAATGTACCAAGAGGTCGTAAGGAGAAATTGACTGTTCAAATCCCACTGTTGGCATGTAGGGCTCCAACTGATGATAATTTTAGTAGTCAATTTGTTTGCAATTAATTTTTAAATGGTCATTAACTGAAAACACTTACATTTAGAAACATTCTTGTACCTGTGGTTTAGATCTGTACAAACCTGTTCTGAAATGCACAGGGATCTTGTATTAGTTTATATTTTGGTCTGCTCTCAAATGTTAAAGGCATTATGCAGCTTTTCTGGTGGACCATTGCTTAGTTTAGAAAGTTCCATGGTATGACATTAAACACATCTATCTAGCTTTTATTCATTATGTGTGTTTCTATTGCTCAAAAATATAATAATTCTCACTCAGTGGGGGGCCTCTTCATAGATGTGACCTGTAATGTAGCCTTTAGTTGTCATCCTTGAGGTAGATAGATTTAATCTAACATTTTTGACAAATCCTGAATCTTCTCACAATGAATGTACAAAAAAAACAAAAAAACAAAACAGTTTAATTTTCCAAAAACGTGTAGTCTTGGTTTTAATCGTCTTTTTATCTTATATTCCAGGTCCTTTTCCTCCTCCTACACCTCAGTTTTCGAGCAGAAGTTCTCAACCCCCTCTGTGCTGGACTCTTCTGACAAAATGAGCTTAGGCTACAGCAGCCTGAGCACCACGCTGTCCCTTAAGACCAGCTCCCCTCCCCCGAACGAAGACCTCAAGTCCAGGGTCAGAAAGGTCTCGCTCGTGTCCGAAAACGAGGACGAAACCAAGCAAGAAACGGAGGACTCGGACAGAACTATCACTACTACTACTACTACTACTACAGTAACTTCAAACGGTGCCGATTTAGATACAGATTACAAATGGAAGAGTAGATATGAAGGAGCTTATCAGTTCAAGCCTAATACTTTCAGCCCATCTAAGTACACACTGAAGTCTTTTACTACTACTTTTACTGATACTGCTACTGATACTACTACTGCTACTTCTACTTCTTTCCCCGAGGCTATAGATTACAACAAAAGTATTTCCTCCCAAACTGCGAGTAACTTCAGCCAAGTGTTGAGTGACAGGTCAGATGAGACAGACGCAGGAAGTGGGCGTGGTTTAGGCGAAAAGGGGGCAGGGCCTAGCTCTGCACCTGCATTGGAGCGGAGAGAGGGAGAGGCAGAGAGATCAGATGCTAGTCGCTACTCCATACAGACAGACGAGGAGGAAGAGGAGTTCAGTGGCGTGTTCAAAGCTACCCTCGTTGACTTGGAGCCAGATTCTCCGGTTTCAGCCGGAGTAGGAGCGCTCGCCTCGCCGCCCGGCACGCCAGAAGAATCGCCCAGCCAGTTTGACATGGACAGTTTAGTGGACACGCTGAAAAACATGGGGCCCTCCATGAGAATAAGGAGCTTGTCGGCCAGGGGAGCGCAGTCCAGTCTCCTCTCGTCATCTCTGTCTCTGCCTCCCATAGTGGAAGATGCACCCAGCCCCGTCACAGCCAACTCCATGATGCTGAACAATCATAAAACCGAAGTGGACGGGCTGAACGGGAGCCTGTACATGTTGCCACCGGACATTGGGCTGAAGAAAAGCAGTTTAAGAGACATGAGGTCGCCACTGGAGCTAATGAAACAACAAGCAATACAGGTCAGTTATTGTACATAAGTATTTGAATATATTTGGTTACAGCACAGTACACAATGCAGTTTATTTCTGTTACTATTTTCGGATTTCAGGTCTTTATGTGCAACATTTTGAGAACTTTTTCTTCAAATTCATAAGTAATATTATTTGTTTTAACTTGTTAATCACTATGGTAATGGCCCTAGTTTTTTTGCATTCTGAAACTATGGATAAGCAAAACCAAGTAAACTCAAAAAAAATAGTAATATCTAGTCAAGAACTTGGAAAAAAAAATCAGTCAATTTAATTAGCTGTGGTTGTTGTATAAGTATCTTTACCTTTCACCAACTCCAAAAAAAAAAAAAAGAAAAAAAAAGTATCTTTCCAAAGTTCAGTTTGTAGTTTGCTTTTGGTCAAAATTGCTCTACATTTATTCCATTGTGAATTTCAACTTTCAAATTTTAAATGAAAATGTGAATTTAGCTTACCTAGTACTGCTACTACTACTACTGCTACTACTACTGCTGCTACTACTACTGCTACTACTACATTACTAATTACCAAAATCCAACTGTAAGATAAGAGAACCTAAATAAAAGTTCTTATCTTATGTCTCACAGTGGAGAAATTCCAGTGTTGCAACATACAGAGAATAGAAGCTCAATAAATTTAAAAATAAAGCAATTATATAAAATGCAATTCTACAAAAAAAACAATATTTGTATGTAGAGAAATAATAGCTGTAAGTTTTGCAAATGTGTGAAAAAGTCGTTTGTTATATGTGACAACGCTGCATCGTAAATATTACACTTGTAAACATGTATAATTATAGGGCAGAGTTTGGATGTATGCAAGGCCTCTGTGTAAATATGTGCTGCAGATCAAGTTTAAACCATCTCATGACCAGAAGCCAAATAGTTTCTTAAAGACTCTGAAGAAAATGGCAAAAAGTGTTTCATGTTCAACCATTTAAATCACTGAAACATGTCTTGTCAAAGTTCATATTTCAGGTTTAGAAATATGATAATGAGTTCTTTGTCCAAACTGGTTTCATTACATTTCTCGATACAATATTTTCACGATATGCAGCTCATGGTATGATACTACTTTTTGCTTTACAAATGCCTTGACAAGACTTTGGTTTTGTTATAAACTTAAGATTTAAAAGTGTTTAATAACTGTCATTTCATCATATAAATTGGACTAAAACAGCGAAGGATCATGGTCTGTGTAGTTCCCTCTGTTTCTTTTACCTATTTCTGCAGCATAACGACAAATTTTAGCAAAGAAACTTAAGATTCGATATCTTGTGATGGACCACGATATTATTGAGACTTTTGACGATATGATATTATGATATTTCAGTTATTGTTACATCCCTACAGTTTAAAATAGTCTCCTGTCCTTCTCTCAGCATATTTTAAACCACGATGCCTCTACCATTTAATAGGGATGTAACGATATCCAAATCTTCACGGTACGATATTTATTGCGATATTTTGTGGAGGCTAACAAAATAGTGAATATGCTACTTTTTCCTCTTAAAATGCTTTGACAATACTTAATTCAGAGAACTAAGATTTAAAAGTGCTTAGAACTGCTATTTCTTCATGTAGTTAAAACCAAAATGGAGCAAAGGATCATGGTCTATGTAGTTCCCACTGTTTTTTTTTACCTATTGCTGCACAATAACAATGAATTTGTTGCAAAGAAACTTAAGATTCGATATATTCTGATGGCCCACAATATTATTGAGAGAATTTTGATGATACAATATCACGATATTTCAGTTATTTTTACATCCCTACAGTTTAAAATGGTCTTCTGTCCTTCTCTCAGCATATTTAAACCACTATTAATGTTAGAAATCTATGAAATGTCCAAAAACGAAATCTTCAAATGTTGAACCTGAGCATTTCTATTAGTTACTACTTCCATTATAGCACTAAATATTTATCCAACCACACTCACACACTTTTCTTTGTTATTGCTTTACCTGGAATGTTCCACACTACAGCATTAAACCTATCTATCCTGCATTTATTTGCTAAAAAACAAACAAACTTGAAAACCTGCGTTCTCACTGTGAGCGCCTCTCCGCAGTGCTAACCTTGACCTCATGGTGTCAGCTGCGTGTTTCCTCGGCGATAGATGGGTTTAATGCTATACTGTGGAACATTTCAGGCAAATCCATAACCTCACTATGGGAACATACATTTTCAGGACCATACACTAGAAAAGTTACATAGTGCACCTTTTAATTATTGATATTTTGTATGTAAACTCATTTCTAGCTGTGTACAGGATGTAACTTTTTGTAACAATGAAACGTCTGAAACAGCTTTTTAGTCACAATTCATATTTTGACCACATTATAGTTCAAATGATTTCCAATTTTAAAAGCACTGTATCTGATTTTAGTTCATTTTAATCGGTTTGCAATGGTCCAAAGTTTTTCCTCTCTTACTTTACACATTAAAAGCATCCTAATTGTCCACCACGAAAAGTTTATAAGAGCCCTTTGAAACAACACTTTTCAACGACAAGAGTCAAGTTCGCTCAAATACACGGAAAAAAATCAAGCCATTTAATTATTTCGGATCAAAATTAGAAACTCAACTGTTGTAGAAGCTTACTGCAAACTCACAAAGAGCTGTTAGTTCTTACACTTATCGTTTGAAACATGTGGAAAGTAAAAATTTATGGCCAAGTCTGTTTTCACATTAGGCTGCAAGATTTACACAGGAGCTTATAGAGAGCCGGGCTGGGAGAGTCTGAGGACCAGCGATGTTACATAATGGTGTAATCCTATCTTATCTCCCACTGGCCAGCAGTGGTTTTGGCTATTGTTTGACTTTTTTCTACCGAGCCAACAGGAAAAGGTCAATGGGGGAAAAAAAACATTGGGTTCTATAACAAATTAAACCAGGAAATACTTAAACAGACACGTATGGCAGAGTGGGGTAGCTAATCATTGATTAGATTAACTGGAGTGAAAAGAGAGTTGGGATGGGACAAGATCTCCTGCCGGTCCAGTGAGGTTCATTTGGTTGTCCGATATTTTATATTGTTAGGTTCTTTTTTCAGACCAAGAGTTTTTTTTCATACCTGACAGTTTCGACTGCTCACTAGAGGTCTTCCTCAGAGTCACGTGATGTTGCTGTGACGTGTTGCTCAGCTGATTTAAACAGGTTTTGGCGCCGTCTTCCTTCTGGTGGAGGCATGATGACAGCGCCATCTGCAGTCCAACTTCCTCCGGACAGTATCCCAGGTGTGTGAGAGTAAAAAACTAATAAACAAGACTATAAACCAGGACGAGGGGGCTTTTTTACTTTCACACACCTGGACTAGTGTCCTGAGGAAGTTGGACTGCAGATGGCGCTGTCGTCCTGCCTCCACAGCTGAACGGACACGTCACAGCAACATCACGTGACCACTCTGAGGAAGAGCACAAGTGAGCAGTCGAAACTCTCAAGTATGAAAACAAACTCTTGGTCTGAAAAAAAGAACCTAATAACTTAAGATGCCTCCTGAATTTACCTTTGACCTGGATAAAAAAAAAAGAGTGAAGAGCTGGTGAGTTATACAATCACCGCTAAAGTAAAATAATAAAATAAAATGAAAGTAAAATAATAAAAATATTGAAGACAAAACTGTGAAATGGATTGTACTACTTATTTATTACAAATTATGTCATCATCTCGTTTTGTCTTGTTCTCGTGGCCCTAATCTCATGATTTATCCTGTCTTGTGAAATCTGTGTCTCATCCCACCCCTAAAAGAGAGAGTGATGGCTGAAGAGGCAGACTGGTTCTACAATATACAATATTTTCTGGGAAAGTATTTTTCTGGGGCAAGATCTCGAGCCAAAAGATCACACAAGATAAAACTGTCCCAAAATTGTGCAGGTTTATGTATGCCTTAAGATGAATTTTGCATATCTTCAAAACAACTATTTCCATATTACCTTATAGGATACTTTCACACTGTTATTTGATCCTACATTGAGGTCATTTCAGTGTTGATGTGGACTTGATTTGTGTGACTTTGATCTAGTCCAAGTTTAGTTTCAGGTTTAATCCTAATTTTGAATAGGCTGATTTATCAGCCGGTTTCACTTCATGGAAACTGTTTGACCTCGCAGCATTAGGATTCGTTCGTTCGACAGTAGATGGGTTCTTTTTTTATTTAATCAATCGTTGCTGTTTGGTCGTGACGTACGTAATGTGCCAAATCCCTTAGGAAGAAGGGCAATAACGTCTTTCCCCTTGATAAAATTCATCAAACATTCTCCTCAATCTTAGCAATTGTTGCCAACACAGAATGTCTGTCTTCGTCTACATCCATCTCGACCGCTTTGTTTATTGTTGTGCTGTTCCACAAAAGGGACACAGACAGGCGCTTGAGTTTGACGTCATGGCTTCACAGCGCTTCCCTGATTGGCCGGTGCACGGTCTACAACTTCCAGGGTTCTTACAAACTGTTTAGTGTATTCCGATTCCTGACCTAAGCGCTAGAGAGAAATGAAATTGAGCGGGGGCACTAGGTGGCACCAGCCTGGCTAAACTCTGAAGTGGTGAATGTGCAAAAGTGAACTCATCCATAAACAATCTTCTGTTCCTGAAATGGTAGAAGGGGTGAGAGGGCAAATTCAGAAGCAAATTTAGGGCACACAGACAAAATGGCAAAACACACTCTTTTTGTTGAATTTCTTTTTTATTTTCATACCAACATTGCTTCTTTTTGCCTTGTTCATTGTCAGCATGGGACAAGGACTTATCTTAAAGGTTCTATATTACACAAAATTGATTCTTGTAAGGTTTAAGCCATGCTAGAATGTTGTTACCTCTTCAAAAACATACCCGGCGTAGTGTTTTGTTTCGTTCACCCATGTTTGAGTAACCCTTTATTATTGGTCGGTCTACAGTTCCGAAGCGGTAGTTTTCAAGTTCACAGCTCCTTTCACCTTTAGTTCAGCAGATATTTGCAATTCTGAGCTGAGTTCATCCAAATGGTTTTAGTGAATGTTTATGGAGTTTAAAAGCACAGTGGAGCACTTCCTGTATTACTATGTGACATCTCAAGGAGGATTTTCAGTTTGAGGGAAGAACTCATCCTAAATATACAGGGTTTGAGTTTTAAACATGTCTGAATTAAACAAAACATGACTCCAGATGTGTTTTTGATAAGGAAACATAACACATCAGAAAATAATAATTAATTTGGCATATCTTCAACTATTTCCTATTATTTTCCAATTACTTTAGGGCACAAAGAAAGCGTGATGACAGGTGAAGTGTGAAAAACAATTTTGCTTGTTTAATCTCCGTTTTCTCTTGATGACAACATTGGCCCTTTTTAGATTTCAGGAGGGCACGAGACTTCAGGATGGCACTCGGCCTCTGCGCGCCTCCACTGCTAACAGCATCGTGATGAAGACCTCCAAAGACAACGCCTCTCCGGAAGAGCTCCACTCCCCCCACCTCCTCAACGGCACCACCAGCTCACGACTCGAGAACAGCATCATCTTCTCCAGTTTCCGCTCGTCCTCCATCGACCAAAACTCCGAAAACCCCACCAAATCTCACCGTACGCTTTTCCGGACCGCCTCTCTCCCAGATATTGGACATTCAAATGATCGCATGAGTCTACCGCCGAGAGAGAGCACAGAAAACGATTCCTCTACCTCACGTATTGAGCGCTTTTCCTTCCTGCTGAACTCCTCGTCGTCTTCCGGGTCGCTAACCGGAGGAGAGGATTACACCGCCAGAATGAGCCGCGCGCCTTCGCTCTCCATCGGCTCGCCCCCTTCCGGTAACAGCCCCACAATGCTCCTGAGCCCCACCGGGTCCCTGGAGCTAAGCCGGCCATTCGCGCCCATGGGAGACGCCCCGATCCGGGTGGGGGCGCCGTTGCTGCAGAGGAGCTTCAGCGGAGACAGCGGGGTGGGGCTCCAACAGGGGGCCCCCATGTTCAACAATATCCACGCCAACACGCACTTCCAGAGCCAACAAGAGCCCGAGGCGGAGAGGAACCTGCTGTCCAAGTACAGAGCCTTCCCCGATGCTTATGTGAGTCATGACTTCTATTTCTTATATTTTAATCTAACTGTCTCATGAAATCACAAACTCAGAATTTCACTCACAGCGATGCACTTAATCAAATTTTTAATCAAGATCCAGTCGATCAAAATTCAGTGATATGCTTGGAGCTTTTTAACTGAGGGGTGTGTAGTAATCTTCTGCAAGTACGAGCAAAGTCGAGGTTAGATTATGGATAATTTGACATCATTTTTATGTTAAATAGTACTGATTTAAAAGTAAAGCTTTTACCCATGTTATAGTGGTTTTCCCTTCTCATGTACCTTCTCAAACTTGTGTTCAGAGTGATTCATGCATGTTCTTCTGCATTTTTGTCTCTTTGTCTTTATTCTGTTGTATTCAACACGTCATTGCTCTGATCTGCCCCCGTTTTCACCGCCACCGTATTCGTTCCGTAGTCACTTTGGCACAAATGAAAGGTGAAACATGAGCTGCCCAGTGGTGTGATCTACAGAGCGGTGCTTTGTTATGATGATGATGATGTTTATGACTACGTTACCGTAAAGAGACAGGTGGAAATTGGGAATAGGCTTCTACCTCACTGGACCCCGCAATTTTCAGCATTTTTCAGTTTTTTATTAAGTCATTTTAGATATTATAATATTGCAATTAAAGAAGACATATGGATGGACAGCTGCTGATCAAACTAGCTGATTTATTTATTTTTCTTTCATTTTTTTTCACTCGTACCAAAATGAGTACTCAACACCGCTGAATCAAATTAAGAAAATAAAATTGGAGAATTAGAGATGATAAAAATAATAATGCAGTTTTATATAGCAGTTTTCTGGACACTCAAAAATCCCATCTATCATTCGTTCATTGGTTTTTCAAAATAAAACCAAAAATAAAACGAAAAAAAAAAAAAATAAAATCTTCATGATTTGTCTCCACAACCAAAATGAATAAATGATTCGTTATGTGTTTAAATGAATAATGGAAAAAAACGGATAACGGCCGTTTCCCGGTCTCAGTCCCGGTCTCAGTCCCGGTCTCAGTCCCGGTCTCAGTCCCGGTCTCAGTCCCGGTCTCAGTCCTGGTCTCAGTCCCGGTCTCAGTCCTGGGCTGATCCTGGTCTCAGTCCAGGTCTCTGTCCCGGTCTCAGTCCCGGTCTGGTCCCGGTCTGGTCCTGGTCTCAGTCCTCATCACCTGACAGTCTTTATCAGCCGGGATCCAATAGAAATATATTTTTTGACCTCCTTCTTTAGCAGAACATCCAATAGCAACACAGGTCAAAACCATTATTGTTCAATTCAAATTTTATCGCAAATAAATCTATCCAGATGGATAGTTTGGCCTCCAATATGGCGGCATAAACACCGGGTCACATGGTTTTTTGACATAGACGCAAAACCTTAATAACATGATTAAAAGCTTTGAAAAGTCAGAACGCAGAATTGCAGAATAGGCCTGCTTTAAATGCACTACCATAGTTCAATGAAATCACTTCATATCCGAGCACATCAGAGGAGCAGCAGCCATTCTCCAATCCCTTTACAGTGAAATTTACATTGTACATAACTAAAAATAAGCAGAGATGGATGGAGAGCCCTGTAAGTCTCTATTCTAAATTCTAACTCACTTGCCATTGTGAGATTGTGAAAACTAGTAAAAGTTTATGATGTTTTTGTTCCAGAGAATTTAATGAGTGTCTTTGCAGAAAACCTGATGTGAGTTCAGACGGTTAAACGGCAGCGATGTGGGCGGGGCTGTATGTTCTGTACTAGAATAACGTCTCCCCCTTCATTTACATTGTATCTGTAATGTGGGAATGTCTGTTTTTGGATCAAGTTTCGGCTCGAGTCACGTTTTAGACCTTTACATGAACGCCTATGGGGGAGCGATCGGAATGGAGGAAAGGGTGCACGAGGCAAACTGAGTGGGGGAGGGAGAGAAAGAGTGAGAAGCAGATTTAAGTCGAAAGAAGAGAACTGAAATTGAGAGAAAGATGGGGAGTGGGAGTCGAATGTGAGGGGAGGGGAGGTGAAAGAGGAAGTGATCGGAAGGGAAGTGAAATGAAAAGGGAGGTAGGGGATCGGATTTGAACTGGGGGAAAGTGGGAGGAGAGGAGATAAAGGAGAGAGGGAGAGAAAGAGGAGGAGATTGAAAGGGAGGATGGAGAGACGAGAAAGTAGAGGAGGTGCAGAAGGAAAAAAAAAGGAAAAAGAAAAAAGGAGGAGTACCTGAGTCGTATCCGTTCACCTGTTCGCGTCGACACGTGCAGAGTCAGCAGCTGCTCTGTCTCAGTGCCATGACTGTGGGCGCATTCATTCAGTAAAAACAACGAAAGAGAGCGAGAGAACAAGGGAATAGATAGATAGATAAATAGATAGAGAGAAGAAGAGGGGAGGAATGAGAGAAGAGCATAGAGGGGTCACAGAAGCCAAGAGAGGAGCTGAACAAGAGAGAGAACAGGTGAGGAGAAGATGGAGGGAGAGAGGAGCTTGAACAGGGGAGAGAGAAGAGAAAAGAGATTGGGAGAGAAACAGATTGTAGATGAGAAAGACGAGTGGAAGAGAGAGCATGAAAGGGTGAAGGAGAGGGAGAAAGAGGAGAGGAGAAAGAGAGAAGGAAAGAAAGAGAAAGAAGGCGAGAGAGAGAGAAAAAAGAGAGGAGAAGAGAAAGAGGAGAGGGAGAGAAAGAGAGAGAAAGAAGAGCGAGAGAAGAGAGAGAGAAAGAGAGAGAGAATAGTGGAGGAGAGGAGTTTGAGCAGGGGAGAGAGAAGAGAAAAGAGATCGGGAGACGACCAGATTGTAGCTGAGAAAGATGAGGGGAAAGAGAGGAGGAGGATAGAAGGGGAAGGAGAGGGGAGAGAGCGAGGGGGGATAGGGGGGGCAGGGCAGTGTGGAGGGGAGACGGAGAAGTTGGAAGAGAGAGATTAGCTTGAACAGGAGAGAGAGAGAGAGGAGGAGAAAGAGAAGAATCTATGTGTTCTAGTTCACATATATGCTTGTCTCAGCAGCTGTCAGTCCTGTGCCGTGGCTGAGGGCGCATTTATACAGAAACATGTTTAATTGGATCAGGGCGAGTTCAGACGCATCCAGAAGTGTGCGAGAAACTGTACATTCAAACCAAACACGGATCACATGACAGTAATGACTCAAAAGACGCATAATGATTTCTTTAAACTGCCTATTATGTTATGTTATACGTCTGAGAGTGGAAAAAAGCTCTTATAAACTCATCCTAGTGAATAATTAACTCGCTCTGAATGAACTACTTCGGTTTTTGACATTTTGAACACACTAAAAATCAGGTACAGCGTCTTTAATCCTTCTGTGCGAGATCCCCAGAGGCAGAACAGCATCTTTAAGGTATAAACTAACTTCATGATACAAACATTTTAAATACTGTTTCTGTGCTAAGGAAAAGACTTGGGACCAGTTTTGATACCACAACAATAAGTAATGCAGTCAGTATTAAATGTGCAACACAAAAAAAAGGCACTGTTACCTTCTAAAAAATGTGAAAATCTGAACTAGTTCCTTTGTAGTTTTTGCAGTCATCCAAAATAAAGCTGATTATGGAAAAAATCTTTATCACGATTATTTTGGTCAATATTGAAATCACGATTATTTTTTAGTAACATGATGCATTTATTCAGCATTTCTCTCTCAAAAAAACACTTTATTGATAATTTACACAAAACTTTCAAATTGAAAATAAATATAGGCTACAAATATGAACCTTAGAGCAGTTTTGCGATGTTTAAAACATAAAATGAATAAAATATACTTTGAACATGAAATAAGGGAGAAAAACATAAATGTATCCAAAATACACAATATATCCAGCTGTTCTACAATAAATATACTTATTTAATAAACAAAATAAACTTTTAAGCTTTATTGTTTCAACTGGATTGAGTTTGGAGATCATTTGACACACAAATCGAAATCACAGAATCGCTAAATTAAATTAATTGCACAGCCTTAGACCAAAATTCTTCCTCACTTACCTTATGTATTCAGAGCATCCTAATTATTCACCATGATGAGTTTTTTGCAACTGTCAGAGACCAGTGTGAAGTTTTGCCTTCCAGCTAACAACAACTGGCATGCTAATGCGCACTTCCTGAGATCATGAAAGACTTAGAAAGACTATAATTAGATGCTTATACAATATATTTGTACTGGGACAAGACAAATTTTGTTTTTTATAGTCAAAATTTCAGCTGTGTTTATGTGTGTATTTATTTATTTTTTTTCAGTACTGATCATAGCATCTAAGGTGGCTTTAATTTACCAATGAAACTACCTTGGAAAAACATGTAAACATCTTACTGCGAATGGGGTTGCTCCTCCAGAGATCTGATCTGTAACTTGGTCTGGTTGCACCTTCTGGTTGTCTCCATGAAAAGAGAAGTTTAATACTGTACTGTGAAGCATTCCAGGCCAGGCAAAAACAACTCCATGGAGACAAACAAGCTACTGATTCTCTACGAGAAAAGTTCCACAATGCACCTTTAAACATTTTTGTATTAGTAGAAAAAGTAGGGATGGGACGAAACCATTTCCTCAAGACCAGACGAGGTTTGATCCACAAGAATGAGACAAGATGAAATTTTAACAATTCCCAATATATACATTTCACGATTCAGTTTCCAATTTTGGCCTCACAATTTTAAATTCATTTGATTTCATACTTTTGTTTTCATTCTAGTACTGCTTTTTGGAAATGTAAGAGATGTAACTCACCACCATGTAACCCGTTTTTGTCCAAACCAAATGTAAACGCATCGAAAAAAATCAGACGAGATCATTTGTGTGCACGATCTTGTGGCAGTTTTGTCTCGCAAGATCGTGTGGCGTGACATCTTGTACCATCCCTAGAAAAAAGTAATCATTACACGCAGCTCTCAATATTTTCAAATCTTGTGACACCAGTTTTAACCTGGGTGTCTGCTTATTTTTCAGACCTTATATTTTGCGCTCTAGTTTGCACTGGTCCAATATTTGAGACATGCAAAG